GGCGAAACTCCGCCCCCCCCCCCCGAAAAAAATAAACAAAACTAGCAGGATGCGGTGGCTTGTGCGTGTAGTCCTATCTATCTACTCGGGAGGCTGAGGTTGGATCCCTGGAGCCTGAGAAGTGGAGGCTGCAGTGAACTGTGATGGGGCACTGCCCTCCAGCCTGGGCGACTGAATAAGACCTGTCTCTAAAACAAACAAAAAATCCCAAAGTGGTTGGAAATCAGCAATGGATGAGGGTTCAAAGCACTCCACATCCTTGTCAATCTTTAATTTTGGCCTAATGACTGTGTGAAGGTTCTAAATTGTATTTTCCTTTATAAATGTTAAGTATCTTTTCAATGGGCTTATTGGCTAATTTTGCAAAGGGTGTGTTCAAATCCTCTTTGTTTTCCAATGGTCAGTAGGTATTTTTCAGGTTAATGCAGGCTAGTCACTGCTGATTTGTGTCGATGGCTTTATGTGCTTTAACAGACTACCGCCCTACGCAGTGAAAGAAACCCAAAAAGAGCCGAACGGCTTGCAAACAGAAAAGCAAGGCAGTCGCTGGGCGAGGCCCACGGGTAGGCTCTAAGGTTTGCGCAGTGATTGGCTGAAGAAGAACTTCCGTGGGAGGGGCGCGGTGACTCACGCCTGTAATGCCGGCCCTTTGGGAGGCCGAGGCGGGTGTATCACTTGAGGTCAGAGGTTAGAGACCAGCCTGGCCAACATGTGAAACATAATTTAAAAAAAAATTCCGTTTTCACACTACTAAGACATACCTGAAAAAAACTGGCCGAGCATGGTGGCGGGCGCCTGTGATCCCAGCTACTAGGGAGGCAGAGGCAGAAGAATCGCTTGAACCCAGGAGGCGTAGGTTACACTAAGTAGAGATGGCGCCACTGCACTCTAGCTGGGGCGACAGAGCGAGATTCCGTGTAAAAAAAGAAAAGAAAAGAAAAAAACTTTCGCAGGCATTTCCGATTCCTGGCCCACCCTGAGCTTCGGTGATTGGCTGGGCAGGCGGTTCGCGGGGCCTCCCGGGAGTTGTAGTTCTTGAGGGTCAGCTGAGGATGCCGGGAAGGACTCGTGGTCCGAGGCCTGGAGCGGTGGTTGCAGTTAGTCGCGGTTGCTGGCAGCATGTCCCGCGTTTTGGTGCCTTGCCATGTGAAAGGCACCGTAGCCCTGCAGGTGGGCGACGTGCGGACCTCCCAAGGCCGGCCTGGCGTGCTGGTCATTGATGTCACCTTCCCCAGCGTCGCTCCCTTCGAGGTGAGCAAGCCTGGTGGGCGCTACCGAGGCTCCCGGGCGGGGCCGACCTGGAATCTCGGTCGTTTCCCAGGCATTTAATCTTTTACAGGAAAGCCTCTGCAGCCTTCCTTGCTCTTGCAAATTAGTTAATCATTCATTTGTTTAGTCCTTCAGTTAACACATTTTCCCTAGAATTGATCTTTGTACTCTGTTCTCTGCTATGTCTCTTGCCCACGTCCAGGACAGCGCTGGCGTGCAGGTGTTGAGAGTGGGCTCGGTGGTGCTAGAAATACCAAATAGTGAACCAAAATAGAAGTTAGGGGTCATTTTGGCCCTGGTCACAGTTGGGGATCGCTAAGCAATGATTTACCCCAAAACCTGCCTCCTTCCCTTTTCTTATAGTCCCTGCTAGAGGTCAAGTACCTCATCACTATCCCCCCAATAACTCGAGTTGACAGTCTCCAATCTCCAGTTGCACCACTTCTGCATCAGTAGTTGATAGAGGTACTGGACACTGCATGACTCAACACAGAAGGCAAAACCTACCTCAGATGGCATGGCATTGAGAGCTCTCTGTGTCTCTGTGTTTGTGTCCCACTTGTCTCTCTCTTCTTTTTTTTTTTTTTTTTTTTTAGACGGAGTTTAACTTTTGTTGCTGGAGTGCAGTGGTGTGATCACTGCAACCTCTGCCTCCTGGGTTCAAGCAATTTTCCTCTCTCATCTTTCCAAGTAGCTGGGATTATAGGAACCCACCACCATGCCCAGCTAATTTTTTGAAATTTTAGTGGAGATGGGGTTTCACCATGTTGGCCAGGCTGGTCTCGAACTGCTGACCTCAGGTGATCCACCTGCCCCAGCCTCCTAAAGGGCTGGGATTACAGGCTTGAGCCCTGCGCCCAGCCCTGTCTCTTTGTCTCATGAGCTTTGTGCTGTAGTGTGTGGTTCTCCCCCAAGCTGTTCCTTACTATCAGCTGGCAAACTTAATTAAAGAACCCAGTTTTGGAAATCCTGACTTACTAGATTAAGGTGGAGCCTGGACAATTTATTTGGTAACACATTTTCTTATATATATATATATATATATATATATATATATATATATATAT